TGAAATGAGTTTTATTCTTGTAGTAGAAGAAAATATTGTTTCAACTGAGGTACGGTATGGTACGACTTGGATATATACTAGGCACGCTGGGATACGCCAAAAATTAAGAAGAAAAAAATTTGAGTACGTGCTTTGTGTATCCGTTATGTATGCAGAAGTACCATACAAAAGGTACCATATGCCGGTAAGTACCCAGTACGAGTACGATATGTTTTTCGAAATACCCATACTTCATAGCTGTAGTCTATCCAAAATTTGCCCCATCAAAGCCGAAAAATCCTATAGCAAATCGGCCCATTAGAATCGATTCAACAAGATATTCTATACAACAGTTGATTCTTGCATGCTTGGTTTTTAGATTATATATCTATATCTGTATATATATGCAATGTGAGCAACAAGAAAAGAACCTCGGAGAGAGAGAGAGAGAGAGAGTGTTTGAGCATGCTTGGCTAGGGCAAATATAAATAAAAGAAAATAGGAGAAATAAATGGGGGCAAATATAAATTGGGCAAATATAAAGCCTACTCATAAATTGGACCTTTTACCACCCCTGACTTGTGCCTCATAATGCTGTCGCAAACATTTTTTGCCACAACTAATGTGGAGATCCTAATTTTTGGTAATTACACGTGTAATCCTGAGTCTTAGGTTAATAGCATTTTAGCCCTTAGTTTCGTAAAAGTCTAGAAAATAGCCCAATAAAGAATAATTTTTTCGTATATCATCATAATTAAATCCTAGAACACCACTTTATGATTGGAAATACCCTAAAACTTGATTTTTATTTATTTTACCTCATAGTTTCTAAATTAATTAATTCATTTTATTATTATTATTATTTAGCTTATTTATTAGTTATTTGAATATTTATTATTTATTTGAACATGAATATTTTATTTTGGGAAAAATTAGTAGAGAAAAAAATCTAGACATTTATTTCCTTCCTTAGTCATTAAGCTAGAACCCAAGCTCATTTCCTATAAATTGCGAGCATTGCCTCAATTCCTTACACACACACATTTCAGCAGCCAAGGAGAGGGTGAGAAAAGGAGAGTGTGACTAGGGGGAAGTAGAGAAGAAGATATAAAAAATAAAAAATAATAAAAAAAGAAGAAGAAGAAAGAAAAGGAAAAAAAGGTGCTTTCTTGAGTCAAGGTAAGAACACTTCTCTCCTTTGTCTTCTCCAATTCTTTCACCCATCTCATCCTATTGTCTAGTATGCCCTCTTGTGTTGCATATTAATGGTGAATAGGGTTTTTGGTGTGTATGAAAGTGTGAGTATGATCTAGTGACTGTCTTACAAATTTGTTAAACTATGCACTGCTGCAACTTCTCTAATTTAAAAGAAATATCAAATTTATTTATTTCTCAAATATGAATTTAATGTAGGATATTTGGCGTGTTTAGAGCTTGTGATAATTTTATTAGCCTCTCATTGTGTGTTTTTAGGGCTTGGATATTTTGTTTTATAAATCTGGTCCTGAGTCTCTAAAAACAGTCCACTTCTTGCAATTTAATAAAATTCCAGAAAAATCATCTCATGTTGGTTCTTCTGTCGAAATTTAGAATTTTGAGTCCTCCTTCCAACAGAATTTATTTGGGTAAAAATCATCGGGTAGATTGTGAGGAAAGCTAGTTTTCCCAAAGGGTGACAAATCTGGGCAGGTTTTCAAGCAGAGTTTGTAGATGAATTTCTAGATGTGCTGTGCAAATTCTAAAAATTGGAATTGAAAATAGACATGTTTATTGTTTCTATGCAATTTCAGCCCCTAATATGACCTAGAAATATTTTTACCAAAGCATTCTTTTTAACTCTGCAGTTCTGAAAAGTGCTGAAAATTGTGTCTTATTGTGTTATTTGTCTCTAAGTATTTCAAAGCATTCCTAATGTTGTTTGTTTGCTTTACCATACTAATGCATGATTATCATGGGCTATATTTCAAACTCTAGGATGACATGGATGTATCCAAACTCTACGCGGTGTTTCAGGGCGTAAGCGAGCCCTTTGGTATGGTATGAACATGGTGTAAACGAGCCCTAGGCACGATTTAGGTGTAAGCGAGCCCACTTGTTTGGCCGTCCCTTTTGAGATCCATCAATGTCACTGATCGGTAAATAACATGGAGGTGGGCATAGGCGGCAAGGTCCGCAAAGCAACAAACGGGGGAGTTCTGAGACGTCCGGTGTTCAACCTTGTGGTTGGGTAGAAGCAATGTTTTCAAAGGCGTATATGATGCGCGACTTGAGACGCGACTTGAGGCGAGGCGTACGGAAAACGCACAGATGCGTTATCTTTTGGGCGACACACCAGCTATGCGTACGTATCAAAGACAGAGGCGTAAGCATCTGAAACGCTTTATACGATTTTCACGCTTTGGACAGTGAGGCGCAAGCCTTTTGAGGATTTCGATTTCAAAAATCCAAATTCGAAAAAGACTTCGATTCAAACAGAAATTGCTCAAGAAGATAATATAAATACCTTGGAAGTATTGGACCCAAGTCTCATTGTACAGTACTTATCAAGGTCCGCAAGACCCAACAGAGTGCATTTGCAATGCAACTAGTCACTGGGCAGCTAACCATGAGGTACCCCTCTTCTATTCCTCCTTTAGTATGTTGAATACAAAAATTAGAGTACATAGAATGTTTCTATTTTTAGTATTACGTATATAATATGTGATTTTGTCAATCATTGATTTAGTATCGTTTCCTAAATTGTATCATGAATCTATTATATATACATGGCCTCTACCTCATTCATGGGAAAGCCAAATAATTCTTTTCATTCTTTTTGGTATCAGAGCTAGGTTAAGTACCTAGTAATTTTGCTTCACTAATGGGCGGCAGCCTTGCCTTGGCCGCCCGCTGGACCTCAATCCATTCCACTGCCATATTTTCTTTCAGTATCACTTCATGGTGATCTCTTCCTCTATCCACTAGTTTATTCATATCCCAAATATCTTGTAATTGTAATATATTATTATTTAATATTATTATTAAGCTTCTTCTTGTTTAATAAATTATTATTATTATTATTATTATATAAATTTTAATTTTTTATTATTATTTTAATTTTTATTTTTTTAATTGAGCTTCTCTTCTCATAATTTTTGTTTTTATTTTTTTATTTGTTTATTTTTGTAGTTGATAAGTTGGTGGGGATAAAAAAAAAAAGATGACTGAACCCAAAGGCCAAAGAAAAGATTTTGTCTGGAAGTATGTAAAAGAAGTTGATGGAGAAAAATATTTTAGATGCAAATTTTGTGATCAAACTTGTAGTGGTACTGTAAGTCGATTTAAAAATCATCTAGCCGGTACGCATAAAGGCATTAAACCGTGTTCAAAAGTTCCTGAAGATGTAAAGTCGGAATGCCAACAAGCGTTAAAAAATTTCTTTGAGCAAAAAAGTGCCCGTAATGAGATGCTATATGAAATTGGGATGGGTGCTGGAGCAAAGGGCGAGAGTGGTGCTTCTCAATCTATTGAAGGCGATACTGGTAGTATGACACAACCACCAAAACCGAGGGGTCCAATGGATAAATTTGCTAGTTCTCAAGCACGACAATCTACACTGAACTCCAAATGGAAACAAGAAGAAAGAAAAGATGTATGTCGAAAGATTGGGCGTTTTATATATTGTAAAGCTCTTCCATTTAATTTAGTGAATGATCCATATTGGGTAGCTGCAGTTGATGGAATTGCAAATTGTGGACCTGGCTTCAAACCCCCTTCTATGCATGAATTGAGGACTTGGATTCTTAAAGCAGAAGTAGAGGATATAAATGTCATGATGGAGGAACATAAAAAAGCATGGAAACAATATGGATGCTCAATTATGTCTGATGGCTGGACAGATGGGAAAAGTAGAGTTCTTATTAATTTTCTTGTGAATAGCCCTGCTGGAACTTGGTTTTTAAAATCAATTGATGCATCTGATACTATAAAAAATGGGGAGTTGATGTTTAACTATCTTGATAGTGTCGTAGATGAAATTGGGGAAGATAATGTTGTTCAAGTTATTACTGATAATGCTTCAAACTATGTCAATGCCGGGTCAAGACTTATGGAGAAGAGGAAGAAGTTGTATTGGACTCCATATGCTGCGCATTGTATTGATTTAATGTTGGAGGACATTGGAAAAATGAAAATCTGTGACCAAACTCTCTCGTTAGCTAGGCAAGTGGTCAAGTTTATATATGGACATTGTTGGGTTCTTTCAATGATGAGATCATTTACAAAGAACAGTGAACTACTCCGTCCAGCAGTAACACGGTTTGCCACTGCTTATCTTACTCTCCAAAGTCTTTACAAACAAAAGCAACCACTCCAAGCTATGTTTTCTTCAGAAAAGTGGGCTTCTAGTAGTTGGGCAAGAAAGGTTGAAGGGGTAAAGGCTCGTGCAACTGTGTTGTTTGATCCAAAATTTTGGCCGAATATTGCTTTTTGTATCAAAAGCACAATACCTTTGGTTAGTGTTTTGCGAGAAGTTGATTAAGAGGAAAGGCTTGCTATGGGTAACATTTATGAGTTGATGGATTTGGCTAAAGAAAAGATTGCTTTCAATTGTGACAAAATATCATGCTTAGTAAAGGCCGATCTTTTGATCGGGCCAGCGGAGGTGCTCATTGCATGACCTTCCCCTCTCGTACCCAAGTTCTCGAACCGAGACAACTTTGGTGATGACGAATACGTGGCCTTAGGCACGAGTCAGGGTTTCCTAAATTTCCTCCAAAATAAAACATTTAAATGGCAACTCTGTATCTGGCAAAGCAGTCCATGTTTGGCACTTCTTTATAAAAATCAATTTTCCAAAACGATTTGTCGGATTTGGATTCTTTGGTGATTTATCGATCTTGCATTGCACTTTGTGAGATTAGATTCAAAACAGCGACATTGAGTCCGAATTGTAGTAGCTAAAGAACAGAACAGATTCGCGCCCTCGGGCGCGGAGCCGGGAGTTCTCCGGGGTGGTCTACAGTTTCTTATATTATTATATTAGATTCATACAAAAAAGAGGAATAGGCTTGAGCACAAACGTTTGAATGCTTTGGTCTATGTGAAGTACAACACTAAACTAAGAGAGAGGAGTATCAGAAGAAGACAAAACATCGATCCAATACTAGTAGATGAAATTGATTCGGATGATGAATGGATTGCTGAAAAAGAAGATCCTGTCCTCCCTCTTGATGCTTCTTGGCTTGATGAAGAAGAATTGTTCGATGCTGAAGCAATTAGGACTGTGCCTATCACTACATATGATAGAAGTGTGGAAAATCGATCAACTACGACTACGATTAATGTTGACTCATCTTCGAATGCAAAGAAAAGAAAAGTTGGTGAAGGTTCAAGTAAGTTGTTAAATAATTATGGACTAGTTGCATACATATTATTGTATGTGCCTATTTAATTAATTTGAAATCATATTTCTTGTATAGGAAATGATAGAGGAAAAGGCAAGGCAGCAAGATGCACCCTTGTGGATGAAGATATGGAGTTGGAAGAAGTTGGTGGAATAGATGATGGAACCTATCCCATTATAGATATAGCAGACGAAGATGATGACAATATTAATGAGGATGACTTAGAGTGACCTATTATTTATTTATTGCTTTGTTTATAGAGTATTAGAGTTTTAAGTAATTTTGTTTATTGAACAATTGAAATTTAAGTTATTTTGACTATCACTTAAGTTATTTTTTTATTATAGTATTAATGAGAATGACTTAGAGAGCACTTATAATACTTGAAATTATTAATTAATTTTGGTTATATGTTTAGAATGGCCTTTAAGAATTTTATTTGGTAATTCTTTTTTTTTTTTACTCTTTTTATGCTATATTTAATTAATTTTGTATTTTACAAAAATTAAAAAAATCAAAATTCAAAAGGCTTACGCCTCAACGCCTCGGGGCTTACGCCTCGAGGCTTACGCCTCGCCTCAATAAGGGTAAAACGCCTCGCCTTGCGCTTTCGCCTTTAAAAACATTGCCACCACCTACTCCTCACCTACTACACTCACCCTCTCCTATATAATGAGCCACCCACCATTTGTAATATACACAACAACATAAATCAATCAATAATACAATTCTCTATTTCTCTTTATACATTAAATTTCTACACATGGATATGAAAAGAAACAAACAACATCAATTTCTGTTGCTAGTCTATTTCTTATCTTACGCACAATTTAACCATCAAAGTAAGGTATCAATATATAGTAATTATGAAAACACTTCCAATTTGAGAATATTTTGGTCCATTGGAACTGTAATGTTAAAAAATAGATCATTGCCCAGTACTGAATTAGTAATGCGGAGTGCTGGGAGGGTTAAACTGGAGATAGATCTAATATTCAGCCATATTTGCACAAATTGGCTGGCTTCTAGACTCAAACCTGCATTCACATGCTCAGGAGTCTATGCTTTTTACTCTTGAACCAATACGGCAATGTTAGACAATCATAAAATGCTAGGTTTAAATGTGACAAGACTTATTAAAATTTGTATGCAGTAGTCATACATTCATGAAAAAGTAAATATTTAACTGAATATGATATTTCCCAACAGGTGCCATGGTACTTGCTGACCGTGGACTATGCTGTATTGATGAGTTTGATAAAATGTCTGCAGAACACCAGGTTTGTCGAGACCTCCAACCAATATGTATTGGTTATCGTTTTAAGTACCAAGACTAAGTTTTATTAATTTTGGGATACCCTCAGGCTCTTCTGGAAGCTATGGAGCAACAGTGTGTCTCTGTTGCAAAGGCTGGATTGGTGGCAAGTTTATCAGCTCGAACTTCTGTCTTAGCCGCAGCAAACCCCGTTGGCGGTCATTATAAGTACTGTGTTTTAGTCTTTTCATTCCATTTATGGGTTATTCTATTCCTTGTGGACTACTATGATGCTAATCATTGATGTGTTTTATGTGTGGATATGGACTACAGTCTATAGTTATAAAAGGCTGATCCTAAGTGGTTGGGTTTTCATGTTTTGTTAAGATTTTGTGGATTTTTAGCACCACAATGAGTAGGATAACCCATATAATGTTTTCTATAGACTGAACATTTTCGAAATGATTTCTATTTGAAAGCATATTCTAAATCATATGGTTTAGCAGAGTTCAAATAAGCGGTTACAGCTCCTGCTACAGTTTCTTTTATTTATTATACAGGTTGGCTTGCTTAATAATCATTATCAAATTTCATTGCAGCCGAGCAAAAACTGTCAATGAAAATTTGAAAATGAGTGCTGCTCTACTCTCACGATTTGATTTGGTTTTCATATTACTCGATAAACCTGATGAGTTATTGGATAAACGGGTCTCCGAGCACATTATGTCCGTAAGTTATCCTTCCTGGCCACTTTCTATTGGTACATTTGTGAATATTGTGTCAAATGTATCTCAATCTTAGGTATATGGATATGACATTTCAAGATGGCTCACATTCAGCTCATGTATACATATGTGTATACCTAATCTATTATTCAGGTTGTCAAACAGTTACGATGACAAAATTCTGGGCTTAAATTACTCACATCTGGCCCTCATTTTTGAGCAAATGTTGATGAAACATCTTCAATGTGAACTTATGGGAATTATTTCAGAAATCAATAATGCTACAATAGCCATATTTGTATACCATAGAGTGTTTACCAGCTCGTGTCACCATTGTATTGGTAACAGACATGAATGATGGGGCCCTTTAACTGAACTGGCAAAACGAAACCATTTTCTACCGCCTTGTATGCTTACCACGGCTATGGTGTCTTTAAGAAATTGGAGAGCTTTGTAACTTAACTGGAAAAGGACACCGTTTTCTACAACCCTGTCTACTACCACTACTACGGTTTGTGTAAATGTGCCATAACCCAATATCATGAGGTGATTCTGCCACTTATCTTGTAGTTTGTCTCCAAGTGGCTACATGTTTTTTTTCTGTTGCTTTTACTATTTCTTTCAGCCCAATAGTTTTCCCTGGTTGCAAAAATGGAGTGCCATTCTTTGTATGCATTCCTATGTGAATTGGTGTTTACGGGACTCTAGATCAAATAGATGATCATAGGCCTTAATGGTCTGAGCTTAGTTCAAGGACATGACAAGCATATAACTGAAGCATTTCATTTGCAGCTTCATGCTGGACCTGGAGAACATTCTCCAGCTGCAAAAAAGCTATGTACAGGTGGTGTTTCTACTGTTGGTGTATTAAGTTCTTATGATTGAGGGGAGTCTAACAAATGAACCTTTAAATTTACATATTGCAGCTTCACTGAATGCTCGAGACATACGGACACAAAGTGGTTCTTTAGTTTCAAGATTGAGACTTGACCCTAAGAAAGATGCTGATTTTGCTCCATTGCCCAGTCAGCTTCTTCGGAAATATATTGCTTATGCAAGAACTTTTGTCTTTCCCAGGTAATTTGATTCGCGATTAAGATGCAACATTTTAATCATGGCAACTTTAGTTTGACAACTCCATATATTGCCTTTTGTTGTATCAGGATGTCAAGGCCAGCAGCCGATATCCTACAGAAGTTTTACTTACGATTGAGAGACCATAGCACATCTGCTGATGGTACACCAATAACAGCAAGGCAACTAGAAAGTCTGGTAAGGCTGGCAGAAGCTCGAGCTAGGCTGGACTTAAGAGAAGAAATAACTGCCCAAGATGCTTTGGTGAGTTGATCTTGCCTGTTTCTGGGACAAATTTTATTTGATGTAAATTTCCATCCTCTAAAATCTGCACTACCAGCCTCTGAAAGTGATCTTGATTTAGTTTTCTTGCAATTTTGAACTTAGCTGGTGTATGCAGATGCAATTCTAGGATGCAAAATTTAGGAGGTCCAAGAATGGTCAGATGCGGTTTGAAAGATGTTTCATATAAAAAATTACAAATTTCTGCTGTTTTCTTAGGAAACAAGAAGTCATTTTACTTCTTTAAGTGCACAGAAAGCCTTTGGTTATGTCTCAACAAAACTCTTATTTCTGTGAACAGTGTATCAAAGCTGCTTTGTCTGCTTGATAAGGATTATTGGTATCTTTGTCACTATATATGTATTCTGCTGGTTATCTGGAAAAATCAACCACAAATCTTTAGCTTTTCTTGAATGAATCTGATCATCCACTGGCAATTCTTCCTCAACTTTCTCCTTACCGTTGTTCCAAATGTCGATTAATTTGCATGCCCATCAAGGGACTTTTTCCTAGTTTTTTTTTATGCCAGTAGAATTCTTTTAACTAGATGAGGAATCTGAAGTTTTCTTTACTTGTTTGGATGGCCAATATGAATGTTTTTAAACTAACGCATTAGCAACCCATCAATGTGATCAAGCTGCTCATTACTCCCACAATGTGTAGGTTATCCCAACGAAAAGCAAAATGAAAGTTACTACTAACAGATGTGCAAGACCATTACTCAATTTCTGTGGTTCTTGAAATTAGAAAGGTTGACTGCTTCCAATAATCTTTCATAACGTCTGGCACGAAGAAAAAAGCTTCTGTTTCAACTTGCACAGACGTAACCCCAAAAATATTTGAGTTAGCATCTATTTTTCTTCACTTGGTAAGCTGGCAATGAGTGCTAATCTCAACTTTTATGGACTGCAAGTGCAATTTGACAGACAAGCTCGACAGTATAAAGTGATTATATCTTTGGATGAGTAAATTTTGGTTATTGATGCCGTTAATTCACTTCACACTGCTATTTTCAGGATGTTGTTGAAATAATGAAAGAATCCTTGTACGATAAGTATGTCGACGAACATGGTTTTGTGGATTTTGGTCGCAGTGGAGGAATGAGTCAACAAAAGGAAGCAAAACGATTTCTAAGTGCCCTGAATAAGCAATCAGAGTTGCAGCAAAAAGATTGCTTTTCAATTTCTGTACACACCATTGCTTTCTCTATTAGTTCTGTAAACAATTTCACCCCCTGTTGAACTCTCCTTTACATTTTAATTATTTCCCCAGGAAATATACAGTTTGGCAGATAGGATTGGCTTAAGAGTTCCAGATATTGATACATTTGTGGATAATTTAAACAGCGTTGGTTATCTACTGAAGAAGGGGCCAAAGACTTACCAGGTACTATGACATCTAACTTTGTCAAACTTTTGAATCCTGGACACCACTGAAAGTGAGAATTCTTGGGTAACCTACATACACCTATTACATTAGAATTGTCAATACTTTCTAAAGTGACTGGAGTGGCACCTCCTTGATGCCTCAACAAAGGAAAAAAAAAAAATGAAAAAGAAGACACTTTTAATGCTATAGAGATCTCATAGATTCGATGATGAAACTTTGAATGCACTTTGCTGTTTTTCTTGTTTTTTCTGATTTGTTCTACTGATATTACGTCTAATTGCCTTGATAGAACTCATAATTACACAATATTAATTTACAATAAAAAAATGAGAATTGTCATGGTAAATGCACCTATTGTAAAACTATAATTACTTATGGAAAAAGATACACCTATTGTTTTGTAATAGAGGAATGTTACTATTTACTGAGGAAAAAGATACACATCTATGACGTTTTCATGTGCACCTCTATGATGTTTCCATGTGCTGTATCAAATAAAAAAAAATTTGTTTTGAAGATGGAAATCATAGTTTTCATGTGCTGTTTCAGTGAGAATCTCAAATTCTTTCATGCAGGTGCTATCATCATCTTATTCACGGAGTTTGTCGTCAAGGTAGAGGGGCTAAGTTTTGCAGCACTGGAGAGCAGGTCAAATATTGTTTATATTGCTTCTCTATTTCCTTTAATTTGGTTACAATACTTCATATGTAATATGATTGGCTTCTGGCACTACTACACTGATTGTTGCCTTGAAGTTTCCAAATGTTACTTTGACTGTAAAATGTGCGATGTGTTATTGACATATAATGCACATTGGATTTAACCAAGCATATTCTGCAGCAGAGTGTATAAAGAAATCTGACATGGTACATACTGAATTCCTATCTTGAATAACAAAATTTAACATGTGTATATTGGAAAAATGATCTACTTTTCTTTTATGAAGTAATTTGCAGATTAGCTAGAGTCCAAGTTGGTTTCTCTGTTCATTTCATTCCTTTTGACTTGCTTGGTATTTTGAAGCATTGCTTACTAGCAGAAATCCTTAATCTCCATAGTGATGTGGTTGTTTAATATTCTCTTCTGAGCCGAAATTAGACAATATCTCCTAAAGAAAGCATCCCTATCGTTTATTTTTCTTTTGTTATATTTTCTTCTCTTATTGAAATTCTTATTCTTCTCAATTTCTCTCATAATCAGCTGTTCTCTTCCCATCTAGATAACAAGCTTTATGGATGGTGTTGGTTTTATAACATTCCTTTCTCAAATGAAATTGGAATTCATCATTTGTTTCTTTCCATTCACTCGGATCTCTTCTGTTTCATCAATTTTGTCTGCGAGCTAGGGCCTAAGTTCAGTCCCAAAGGTGTAGTCGATGGACAACATGTGGATATAATGTCTAATTATGTTGTAATGTTACATATCTTGGGATTGTAATATAATGTATGTCCTTGCAGATTAGACAACCCTAGCAATGTTAGTACAGTACCAGACATGGAAAAAAGCTTCTGTTTCAACTTGCACAGACGTAACCCCAAAAATATTTGAGTTAGCATCTATTTTTCTTCACTTGGTAAGCTGGCAATGAGTGCTAATCTCAACTTTTATGGACTGCAAGTGCAATTTGACAGACAAGCTCGACAGTATAAAGTGATTATATCTTTGGATGAGTAAATTTTGGTTATTGATGCCGTTAATTCACTTCACACTGCTATTTTCAGGATGTTGTTGAAATAATGAAAGAATCCTTGTACGATAAGTATGTCGACGAACATGGTTTTGTGGATTTTGGTCGCAGTGGAGGAATGAGTCAACAAAAGGAAGCAAAACGATTTCTAAGTGCCCTGAATAAGCAATCAGAGTTGCAGCAAAAAGATTGCTTTTCAATTTCTGTACACACCATTGCTTTCTCTATTAGTTCTGTAAACAATTTCACCCCCTGTTGAACTCTCCTTTACATTTTAATTATTTCCCCAGGAAATATACAGTTTGGCAGATAGGATTGGCTTAAGAGTTCCAGATATTGATACATTTGTGGATAATTTAAACAGCGTTGGTTATCTACTGAAGAAGGGGCCAAAGACTTACCAGGTACTATGACATCTAACTTTGTCAAACTTTTGAATCCTGGACACAACTGAAAGTGAGAATTCTTGGGTAACCTACATACACCTATTACATTAGAATTGTCAATACTTTCTAAAGTGACTGGAGTGGCACCTCCTGGATGCCTCAACAAAGGAAAAAAAAAAAATGAAAAAGAAGACACTTTTAATGCTATAGAGATCTCATAGATTTGATGATGAAACTTTGAATGCACTTTGCTGTTTTTCTTGTTTTTTCTGATTTGTTCTACTGATATTACGTCTAATTGCCTTGATAGAACTCATAATTACACAATATTAATTTACAATAAAAAAATGAGAATTGTCATGCTAAATGCACCTATTGTAAAACTATAATTACTTATGGAAAAAGATACACCTATTGTTTTGTAATAGAGGAATGTTACTATTTACTGAGGAAAAAGATACACATCTATGACGTTTTCATGTGCACCTCTATGATGTTTCCATGTGCTGTATCAAATAAAAAAAAATTTGTTTTGAAGATGGAAATCATAGTTTTCATGTGCTGTTTCAGTGAGAATCTCAAATTCTTTTCATGCAGGTGCTATCATCATCTTATTCACGGAGTTTGTCGTCAAGGTAGAGGGGCTAAGTTTTGCAGCACTGGAGAGCAGGTCAAATATTGTTTATATTGCTTCTCTATTTCCTTTAATTTGGTTACAATACTTCATATGTAATATGATTGGCTTCTGGCACTACTACACTGATTGTTGCCTTGAAGTTTCCAAATGTTACTTTGACTGTAAAATGTGCGATGTGTTATTGACATATAATGCACATTGGATTTAACCAAGCATATTCTGCAGCAGAGTGTATAAAGAAATCTGACATGGTACATACTGAATTCCTATCTTGAATAACAAAATTTAACATGTGTATATTGGAAAAATGATCTACTTTTCTTTTATGAAGTAATTTGCAGATTAGCTAGAGTCCAAGTTGGTTTCTCTGTTCATTTCATTCCTTTTGACTTGCTTGGTATTTTGAAGCATTGCTTACTAGCAGAAATCCTTAATCTCCATAGTGATGTGGTTGTTTAATATTCTCTTCTGAGCCGAAATTAGACAATATCTCCTAGAGAAAGCATCCCTATCCAGTTTATTTTTCTTTTGTTATATTTTCTTCTCTTATTGAAATTCTTATTCTTCTCAATTTCTCTCATAATCAGATTTTTTCTTCCCATCTAGATAACAAGCTTGATGGATGATGTTGTTTTTATAACATTCCTTTCTCAAATGAAATTGGAATTCATCGTTTGTTTCTTTTCATTCACTCGGATCTCTTCTGTTTCATCAATTTTGTCTGCGAGCTAGGGCCTAAGTTCAGTCCCAAAGGTGTAGTCGATGGACAACATGTGGATATAATGTCTATATATGTTGTAATGTTACATATCTTGGGATTGTAATATAATGTATGTCCTTGCAGATTAGACAACCCTAGCAATGTTAGTACGGTACCAGACATGTTTATATTTTAAATCCAATTTTCAATGCAATTTCAACAAGGCAAATATCCCTCTTCCTGAACCTCAATATTGGATTGCTTAGGAATCTATTTAATATATTACATTAATCAAATGATAAATTACATTTGAATTTCAAGCTTCACAAGGTTGAAATACACTTTTGCTTTTAGAAAACGGGTTGTACCTAGTACATAAGTTTGCTGGTTATAATAAAGTCTGAGAGAGGTAGTAGATAGACAGTCTTCCTTCCACTGATGATTATACAGAATCAGAGGCATAATCCTCTCCAGGTTCAAGCCGCCACTCGCTCCCATAATAAGAATTAGGCAATCCCAACCAGAACTTTAATGCCTCGGCCGCTCTCTTCCTCTCACTCCTCTAGTCTTGCCTTGCTCTCGAGGCATGCTTGTTTATAAACAACCTCGAATGCATCTCCACCAATTTAATGCTTTTGCTGTTGTTGCACTTAGTTACTGCTACTGCACTTAGTAACTGCTACTACTGCAGAGTTGTTTTTGCTACTACTGTGCTACAAGTTGCCCACTGAAAAGCACACTAATTTAGTAGCTCAGACCATATTCCACACTTTGGAACACTGTAACAGAACACAGTTGCTAGATTTAACTTCACTTTACAATAAAGGACATACATTACTAGAGCACCATTTTTTTTTTTTTTTTTTTTTTTTTTTTTTTAAATATAAC